GAATGTAAAACTTTCAAATTATTTCTCTATATAGCAGTGCTTAAATGCTGTTTCCAACGGACTGATCTTTACTATCCACTCCCTTCTCTTCCCCTCCAGTTGAGTTGAGTAGGTTTCCTTTGAGTAAGCTTGGTTACTTACAACCCTTCCTTTCTGCTCTACTCCGCAGCAGATTGCAAGAACCGGCCCAGACCAATGCTGGAAGAACAACCTTAAGCTAAGCTCAAGGGAGATCATCCCATCATGCATAGCAATATCAAGCATACCAGAACCTAATCCTCCACTTGCCTTCTAGTTTTTAGCAAGTAGTTGCACGTGTTGGCTATAAGAAAGCCTCTCCCTACCCCTTCCTTTATATTAGTTTATATATCTTTCTGATTTTTGGATGATTTCTCTCTCCTTCCCTTGTACTGGTGCTGCTCATCACCTGATGAAACTTGTTAAATTCCTTCCATTTTCTTTTTGGTGGTTTGGTTTTCAATAAAACTTATTAAATTTTGTAAATTGGTGATGTTTTAACTTACTGCTGTTCTTTTATTGTGCAGTTTGCTAGTGTGCCTGTCATCTGCCACCTGAATCACCATAAAAACTGAGTTGCCCAGAGATACAATTAGCGGAGTTGTTTCCTGTCCTTAATATAAAGAAACAGCAGTGCCATGTCAGACACTGTATGAGCTGGCTTTTGGAGGGAGTCTGCCATGTTGTGGTTTGGTGTGCGCAGGTAGTCCTATTTGTTTGCCAGCATTTCAGCTTTTCTGAGATGAATGCAGATTCTTCTTTCCTGAAAGAAAAAAGTCAGGTCATGGCTAGTTATATCCTTGTTATCAGTCTGGAACAAGCCAGAAGAACTGTATAGGTTTGATGGGGAGGGAAGATGGTGGCCATGGCTTTTATTTTGCTGCAGATGAGCTTTGATTGGCTTTTTGCTGTGGTGTTGCTCTGGGATGTTGCATGTGTTCCTGAGAAGGCCACGGTCCATGAGCTCGCTTTGGACTATGCAAGTGGTTTCCATCTACAGGAATGGAAGCTGGCTGCTCCCAGCATCTCACTCAGAGCAGAAGTCCAACCCTTGCTCTGACTTGTATTGGTGCCTGTGCCCTGCCAGTCCCATCCACACCTGGTAACCTAGAAAGGGCACTCTACGATAGCCAGCCATCGCGTGTTCTACCGGAAAAGCCTTGACTTGACCATGTTTCTCTGAAGGGCCAGCTTAGCTCTTGGCTGTTATTTCCCAGTGTTCCCACTTTGCTCCTTGGCTGAACATTGCTGCAGGATAATCGGCGGCTATAATCCGGGGTAGAAGAATTACTTAGAGTCCATTCAATATGAATTCATGCTCTTTATTTAAGCGTCTACACAGCAGGCCCGAAGCTTTCCCCAAGCGATCTTTTTATTATTATCCGCATTATTGCACACCCCCCACTCCCTGTGGATTGCTTAGTGCCCATGTCCATGCGAGTCTCTTTACCAGCTGACTGGCTTGGCGGCCCCCACATGCGCCGCCTGCTCCCTCCTTTCTCATCCTGTTTTGTGGTTCCGTTGTTCCGGAGGGCGTCGCTGATTCACATTCATATGCAGTTTTGTTAAAACAAAAAGGGGGGGATGCCCGGGGCGACATGCACCAGAAGACGACCAGGAGCAGCAACAAAGTATTCCCTCGGCACCAGAAGCCTTGGGAAAGCGCGCCCAACAGGAAGACTTGAGTCAGCGCCAAGAGGGGCAGGCACCCGCGAGCTATCCGAGTGCAGATATTGAAACCAGGGCACGGACGTGAGAGAGGGAAGACAATCTCAATGCAGAGCGTGGCTTGCAGCAACGTAGCAAAGCAACTTCAATCTGCAAACACGGCTGTATTCTCACACAATAAGGCATACAAGAGAGGATGAAATATGAAACAAACAATCTTGCTTCACTACACGCAAGGTTTGTGCTTCAGTCCCCAGAAGTGGTCCCGGAGTATCTTTGGGTCAAACTCATTTACTTCCCCTATTTCCTCATAACACCCGGGGTTGATGTACTCATTATGCCCTAACTCCTTTAACCATTCTTGCACCTCAGAACATGATTCCTACTTAGCTGAAGGCCCAATCTGTTCCATAAAGCAGAACCCCTCTTTCTTTTCAAACCCAGTTGTGCCACCGAAGTACACCGTGGAGCTGGCCTGCGGACTGGGAGCAACCATCCTGCTCATTGTGGTGCTGATAGTTGTCTATCACGTTTATTGGCTTGAAATGGTTCTCTTCTATCGGGCCCATTTTGGAACAGATGAAACCATTCTAGGTAAGATTTAAAGATGTTATGTTCATTTTATCCTGCTACCAGCCAGACCCTTTATTAGTATATAGGAATTTTCCTATAAGCTATTTTTAACCCTCTTCACAGCACAGTAACATTTTGACATTCCGTGTTTATACCTGCAGTTTTCTGCGTCCTTTTAGAGCAAGAGGAGTCAGACTTGGGATTCGGGGCTGGAGAGAGAGAAGTCTTCCATATTCTCATCAGGGGTGAAGTGCGGACATGTCAGGCTCCCTGGACACTGCTCCACTGAAGGCTAGCTATTTCATGTGATCTGAACAGTCAGGGATAAGTTATCAAGTTTCAACAAATCCATGGTTTCTCTGGTCACTCTATGTAAGGATTAGAGAAACAGATGTGATTTGTTTTAAGATGGAGGAAGACATCTGAAAATGGGAGGTAATTAAGCATCTGGAGCACAGGATCTGGAAATGACCCTTCCATCCTCAGCTTTGCCACAGCCTTCTTATGCTACTGGGAATTCATCTCTTGGGACTCTAGGCTGAGATCTCTCCCTCTGTAGGATGAGGAGAATGTTAACTTCCTGCCCTCATAGCCTATTGTGTGAACCTGCTGAGGGAGTGCTGAGGCTCTCAGAGGATGCAGTCAGGGTGAAAATCTCTGTTTGGTGGGATTGCTAATGGGGCTTGGCAGCAACAAGAGCAAGCAGTGCCAGAGATGTAAAAGTACAAGGGGAACCCTGGACAGAACAAGGTGATCAAGTTGCTGCAGTCTTCTGCTTCAACAACCCAGTAGTATCTGGGTATCTGCACATTTAGGCTGGGTAGTCAAAGGGGCACCACTGTAACCATGGAGATCAGTGTGTCTTAATCTGTGGTACCTGGAAAGCCCTGAGGGCTCAAAGCGGGTCTTCATGTTTGATTTTCCTCTGAAGCAATTCAGAGACTCAGCATGTACAGTATCACCAATGTCTCTTCTGCTCTTTGCGATTCTCTGTAATCCCAATGCTCAGATGGGAAGGAGTATGATGTATACGTATCCTATGCACGAAACGCAGAAGAGGAGGAATTTGTGCTGCTGACGCTGCGGGGAGTCTTGGAGAATGAGTTTGGGTACAAACTATGTATCTTCGACAGAGACAGCCTCCCTGGGGGAAGTGAGTATTTCACAAGGTGCTGTGCTGCATGCACATCCTCTTTTCTTTATTGTCTTTGCAGTACTGATAATTGATAGGAACTGGCTTCTCCAGCTTAACTTTATTTTCCCCATCTCCATTAATCATCTCTTGTTGGTATCGTCTAGTATTTTTGCTTCACGTTACAATGTAGCGGATGCTCCAGGCCACCTGAAAGGCTGCTGTGTTAAGGTCACTTATTTCCATTGCTCTCTCCAAGAGTGATGTACGGGGAGTGATGGCTCTATCAACACAAGGCAAGCAGCCCATTGACCTTCATATAAACCTCTGAGCTGCCTTAAGAAATGGAGATAAAGTCAAGGCTAGAAAGGAAATAGGTAGGGAGAGTGCAATACTGAACCAGATGGGTAGCCCTCAGACAGCACTAGTGAATGGCTATAAATACCAGGAGTGTCTGCTTCAGGGAGAGTGGAGAGCACCCTGCCAGCATCAGTGAGAAGATAACGTGCCCTCTCAGGAGGCCTCCCACTCACCCTCACTAATTAGAAAGTCTATGTCTAACATAGCATACAATTAGTAGCTATGATTAAGAGTACTTCGTTGCATGTAGTGGGACTAATCTCTTCACTAAGATGTAGATATCGTTATTGTTATTTCAAGCTAAATTGTATGCCAAGGTTCTGGTCAAAAAGCCCCCTACAAGGGTGATGGGAATCATCCTTGAATGGAAGAATGGAAGTTCGTGAAACTCTCCAGATACATGTATAGTCACAGAGGTGCCAGAGCAAGGAGACAAATCTACCCAACGCTCTCAGTTTCCAGTGTTTGAGAGGCCAAGATGGCTGTAGGGTCCCTGACCCAGCTAAGAGGTAAAAGCCTAAGCCATTGTCAGTGCACACCCACTTTGAACTCATGGGTTCAGGTCATGACCCCACTGACATCAGAACTTATGCAAGTAAAGTCTGAGGGGGGTTGGCTCACTTACTTTTGGGTGAGACAGGAGGGGGACTGCTGGAGTCCCAGTCCAGCATGAGCTGTGTGGGTGGAAGCACAATCAGTTCAGGATCCTTTTATCTTTCTCTCCGAAAGATACCAGGGCACCTCATTGCCGGAGTACAGCACCTCAAGGTGTAAGGGCAAATAAATACAAGTGCCTCAGGGGTGGGGACAGAGCTGTTATCCTGACATTGTTAGTTCTAAAGAGAGTCTAAATCTCTGGAAAGTCACCCTCCAGGCTCTGTTTGCGTGGTGCCGCTGTCAGGCTCAGAGCAAGTTTGCAAGTGTTAACAGTTCAGGTTGTTTAATTTGAGAGGCTAATCAGTAGAGCAGCTTCCCCTTCTCTGTGCTGCTGTAGGCCAGAAATGTATTCACCAGTTGCGTGAAGGAACTCAGTTTACTTAGTAAGGCTTCTTGTCCTGTTGCAAATATTGCCTGTTGGCTGGCTGGCTAGCTGTGCTTCCTGCAGCCATGGATCCTTCGGCATTTGCCCACCAGATTGTGGTGTCTGCCCATCTCTCCTTGGCTGCTGAGGTTTGAGGATATCTCAACTGATGGCAGCAGGGCTGCAGGCAGACAGCTGCCTCCTTCCTCCCACTCAAATCTGCCAGGTGAGAGAGTGAAAAAATAACAGGCAGAGCTAAAAGATTAAAATCAGCCAAGCCATGCTGTGGCAAACAGCAGCCCATGGGGCAAAAGAAGAACCCCCGGGTCAGGCTGCCATTTGTCTTGGTCATGGGCAGGTGTGAAGCAAACAGCTAGCAGAGTGATTGTGGCTGTGTACTTTGATCTGCCCCACTATTCTGGTGTGCATGGTCAAGGACACGCATGGCTGCACGCTGAGCTGTGCTTGCCATAAGGAGATGTCCTGCTGAAAGCTTGGATCTTGTGCTTGGTCCAGAGAAGTGTGTCCTCAGGTTGCCTTTGGCTTGTTCCAGCTGCTCTCTGTGGAACAGCAGTATTGGCATCGTGATGCCCCAGTGCAGAGCTCCTGAAGGGGGTTGCTAGAAGGACATTGCAGCTTTACTGCAAAAGCTCTTCTGAACAGATGCTGGCCACTCTCTGCTATAAAAGGGTTGCAAGCTCATGAGAAAGGCTGGATAGATGATATCCATGAGAAAGGAATGGATAGATGCCAGTCTCTGCCATTCCTTCACGTCTCTCCCACTTATGCACAGACGTGGGATTGTTGAAGGGAGACACACACCGTCCACCAGGCAGCCCAACTGCTGGAGCGGGCTTTCCAGAACCACAACTGGCTCAGAGCTCCCAAAACAGCCCCAGCTACCTCCTCCAGAGAGACCTGTTCTCACGATTTGTTCCTCAGGACTTACATCTCCCTCCTGTTCCACTCTGCCACTTCTTTCTATCCTTCCCCTTTCCTTTTGGAGAATCTTTTTTTTCCTCCTAGCTCAACTTTCTGCCCAGAACCGCCCCCGTGGAGTGCTCCCGTCTCTGCACACAGCAGTAGTAACCGGTTGCCTTGTTCTGATGAACTCAAAGGCCAAGCCTTCCTGAGCACTGAGAGGGTCACTTTTAATTGCAGTGCCATATGCAACACTATTGTGGCTTCCCCGCCGCTTCTTAGCTGGGATTTGACTAATCTGCTTCTTGGGGAAGCACGCCAGGCCAGGAAATAGCTTTTGGCAGCTGGTGTCTTGCCTCCGGTGTGTGCATCTGTGTCATAGGTAGAGAATTATGTTGTCCTTGATGAAGAAACAGTGGGAGATGGATTATTGTGCTAGTATGCTGACAGGAACTAATCAAACGTGCTTGACAGCTAAATGAAGTTATGTGTCAGTGTTATTTTATTCTCCATTGTATTTTCTGACCAGTCAAGAACATTCCCTTGTCAATGAAGCGTGGAAGATCCTGCAACAGAGGGAGCAACCACAGGGATTCACAGTTGCAAAGAGACTTCACAATAATTACAGAAAGGTGGCTAAGGACAATCTAGCTGCAGATGTTAGAAAATCATAGAGGATCCACGGTTACCATGACATGTCTCCAGCACTAAAGGTGTCATTTTTGGACACTTCATTAAAAATCCTCTGTGCAGTTGCACTTGTCACTTCCAGAAGCACACAGTCTTCTTTCATCAATGATGGTGACAGGAACAGATGGATGAAAACAGTAGTTAGCATGACAGGATTTCCAAAGTAAATTAACGTGTAAGGACACTTAAGGAGGGCATAGGTAATTCTTGTGTGTGATTGGTGTTGGGAAACCGAGGCAAGAGAGATGAAAGGGTCACCCAGAGTCATTCTGGACATCAGCCAAAGGAGTATTTAAGCATAGGCTTCCTTCTGTCTGTTCAGACTGTCTTTTTTCAATTGAGGTCATGCGTTGTCCAGCTGGTCCAGGGATTTGGCCCTGCAATTTTTCTGCTTTGCTCTGAACAGCCTCTTTTTCCACTATCTCTAGAAGGAAGCTCAGTCTGAGCCTACCAAAGCAGCCACTTTTGCTGCTTGGCATCCTCCTGGAATCGAATGGTGTCACTGCCATGTAGTACAGCGCTTTTTACGTGCAGCTACCTCAAGCACCTTGTCCACGTAGCACGGAGAAACAGGCAGACTGAGGCTGGGAGCAGTAGATATCATTGGCAGTGGTACCAGCTGCGGAGCAGGAGGCCCTACCTAGGATCACTTGCAGTGTTGGGAAGCAGCAGCATAGTCTCTGGAGAGGGCCTCTAAGGAATTTTATTGTCCCCTTTGAGAGGTATCTGGTATCACCTTAGCAGCTCAGCAGCCCATTCTCAGCCATCACTAACCACCTTGATGTTTTTTTCTCCCAGTTGTCACAGATGAAACCCTGAGCTTCATACAGAAAAGCCGCCGTCTGCTTGTTGTCCTGAGCCCCAACTACGTCTTGCAGGGGACACAGGCCCTGCTGGAGCTCAAGGCTGGTCTAGAGAATATGGCCTCCAAGGGCAGCATCAAAGTCATTCTAGTGCAGTACAAAGCCATCAAGAAGAGCAAGGTGAAGGAGCTGAAGCAGGCCAAGGCAGCCTTGACTGTCATTAAATGGAAAGGCGAGAAATCCAAGTTTCCAAAGGGCAGATTCTGGAAGCAGCTGCAGGTGGAAATGCCGGTAAAAAAAATTAGCAGGAGTTCAAGCCTTGATGGGCAAGAGCCTTCATGTTTCTCCCTGAGAAATGTTTGACACTATCAGGAAAAAAAAAAAAAATCCACAAGTTAGGCTGGGGAGTGGGAAGGAACTCAGGGTTTCCCATCAAGGACTCTGTCCCAAGCATTTCAGAGGACAGTCGTGCCTCCCTGCAGCTTTCCTACTGCCCCGAGCAAAGATGCACGCACACCTTCTTTCTGCAAATGCTAACACTTTTAATTAACCACAAAAGTCTCAGGCTCAAGGTCTGAATTTGGGCTGTGTAGGTGGGGGTGCAGCCAGCACCCGGTGATAGCATGGAATTTGTACAGGCCAGTACTCCTAGCACCAATTTCTATCAGACCGTCTTTAAATTCCCAGGCAAGGCTCTTTTCCTCTCCTAAGCAGCCTTACTCCTTCCCATTCGCTGGTCCCCACCATGGAGGCCAGGGGACAGTTTGAACAGTGTCTCCAGTGTGGCGCTTGTCCCATGTGTCCCTGCCTCCTAGTCCTACGGGATCGCAGATTTCTGCTTCCGTCGGGGAAACACACTACAACCGCTGTGCTCTCAAGGCTCCTCTTCATCTCTCCCCACACTCCTGTAGGAGCAGATGCATTCAGGTAGTTTGCTAGTGTGAAATGGCTGTTACAGAAGCAAAATTTTTGTTTCTTTAAAGCTCTGCTATTGTGCTATTTGTATTGTATAATTTCTACTAATAAGTGGTCAGTCTCTGGGACTCTGCAGTCTTCTGAGTGACCCAGATCCTTCAGGGCTGTAATGCTCTTAATCCAGGGGAATGTCTTGTTAGCACAGGTCATGGAGCATGTGTGAGAGGTGCTTATTTGTAGAGTAAACTCAGGGACTTCACAAGCACTGCAAGGAACCGCAATTTACTACTGGACCCCCTTGCTCTGTCTGTGCTGCTGCCAGTGGGAAAGCGTCGTGGAAAGTGGTGCCAAGGACGCAGGCACAACACTATATATCTTTCCAGGGGACCCTGCAAACTTATCTGAACTCTTCTTGCTCTTATTAAAAGCTATTAGGTCTATCCATCTGGATAGTACCCCTAGGATGATACTGCCTGGGTATGGTGAGGATCACTGTTTTCGTAATTCAGGGCTCGAGTTTAAACCCACCTCAGTTTTAGAGAGCAAACCTCTGTCCCTCTTGTTCTCAGTCCAGAGTTGCAGAACAGAAGGTCTTTCTCAGCTTCCGCAGCCTTTCACAAAAGCCACAGAGTACCAGTCCTTGCTTAAATGGGAGGCAGCAAGCGTAGGAAAGGGCCTGTGTGTTAATGCACCTGCAGACAGGCCTTTCACATGAAGGGGGAGTGTCCCTTCCCTTGTAGGACAGACCAAAGCACAGCAGGCCTTGGCTGGTACTGTTGTTCACAATGTTTTCACATAATACTACAAGTTATAGGGGGGTGCCTCCATATTCCCGTAGCTACCTGTGCAAGGGCCTTCTCATGTAATTGTGGAATTCGATGTTACACGCACTAAGTGCATGTTTTAGTTTTTGTAGACAATGATTACTCTTGAGTCAGCTCTGACTCATGCTTTCACTCTGCTGGTGTCCAGTGGCTGAGGTGTAGCCATCCATAATGGCATTAAAAAACCACTACAAGTTGGAATATATGCACTATTCGCTCAACTGGGCTGTGAGGTTTGCGGGCGTCCCAGCAAACAGCCCGGCTTTAAAGGTGTGGGGCTGATCCCTGGTGTCAGCAAAGCCCCCTTGCTCTTCTGATCTTATAATCTTATGATTACTAATAGTATTCCAGGGGAGCTGGGGACTCAGCCACCCGCACCACTGTGCAGGTACTGTAGAAATGTGGAACAAAGAGCTTTCTTCTTTCTCACCTTCTTCTTCATCCCCCCTTCCCCGAGATAAGCTTTGTTTTAAGCAGGTGAAAAATTGTAGTCAGCATCAGTGAAGGCAGTGGAGCTTCTCATCTGCTCAGAGGTGCTTAAAAGTTTTGCTCTTATTGAGCCTTTCTGCTGTGGCTATCTGCAGAAAGACAGAGCAGATTCCTAAACTCCATGAAGCTTCATTTGTATGAGATAGCATCCCAAAATATGTTAGGCTTTGTGAAGCCATTGCAACTGCATCATTCTGCCCAACTACATCTTTTTGTTCATGTTTTCAGCATCTCTGTGAGCAGCTGCCAGATCTGCAGGCAGAGGGAAGGCCTTGAGGCCAAAGCAGAACTGTGTTAGATTCCAATTTGATTTTTAAAAAATTGTCTTGGAAATATGCATAAATTCAATTAACATCTCAGACCTCTCCACATCACATCTCACTTTGGTCTGAGGCACCAGTTTCTTCTCATATTTTACTAAGTCTAATTATTTAGGAACTTAAAGCCTCCTCATTTACTTTGCTGATTTTATTCTAAAAGTTTTCCAAATAAATAAGGGGCCTGGTGTTTCTCTGGCATACAGTGCAGTGGCCTGTGGTGCCATTGCAATCCCAGAACAAGTTTACCGAGAGACGCAAAGCAAGAGCTCAGTAGAGCACCCACAAGGCAAAAGGTGGGTGAGCTGGTCTAAAAGGGGCATGAGAGGTCCAAAGGGAGCGGTGTGGAAGGAGTGGACTGGAGCTTGCCCACTGGCTTCAGTGAGAGCAGCCAGACCAGGGGCAAACCCAAATGCCAGCTGCAATGCAGCTCTGCAAAGCTCCTCAAATAAACCTTCCATTACTTCCTGTGCCACTTGTGGTTTCCATTATAGGATCCTGTCACAGTGTCTGTCTAGTTCAGTTGATTCATTGGAGTCTCTGTGCATTTATCAATATGCAGCTCATACAAAGTTCCTCGTTGTTATTTCATGGGGAAACAGCTCTGCACAAATTGGAAAGGATATTTTCCCCCGTGCTGCTTGATGTTTTACAGCTGTTCTGCAGTGTTCCCTTCTCTTTTCTGTATGTTGCCTTTCTGTTATTTGGTCTGTGAAGTGTCAGTGTTATTTTATTTTGCTTTTCAATAAAACATTTTCACTTTTGCATTTCAGTCCTTGTGCATTTCTCATGAGTATCATTTTCCTGACCATTACATCTGCAAAAGGGTGTTAAAGAAAGATGACTGTGTAGTCCAGGCATCAAGATCATTTGGGGATACCTCCTTAGAGGATGGGATTTTCCCAGCTGCATAGACCCAGGACAAGCCTTTGATACCGTTCCTGCCACCTGGGCCATGAAGGCAAAAATGCGGAGACATGCAGCAGCCAAATGTCACCTAGCAGTTGTACATGAACACACAGAAAGTCTCTGACCTGGGGAGCACTCACTCTACAATCACAGGATAGAAAAATGGGAAGGAAACACCATCCCTTTGCTTGAGAGACCGAGCAACTAGCCAGAGTTTTTGGCAGAGCTTGGGAATCTGTCTTAATCACAGAAATCAGCCTCTTTCTTACACTGCTTCTCCTATCACCTTCCAGGTAGTTGGCTAAAAAAGGTTCATTCATCTTCATTTTTCCCCTCCAACCCATAATTGTTTGACTTTCCTGTGACTGTGTCCTAGGAGATTAGTTGATAGAGACTTGAGACGCTGTGGATTTAACCCCACAGCTTTTATTGGGCTAAGACAAATGCACAGCTTTTAAATGTCTTTGTTCTATCTCCAGGGTGCATTAGGACAGACCCAAGAAACGCAACAAAAATATGCAGAGTCCTTCATGATAATTGTGTAATAAAGATGGACGTTTTTTAGTGAAGGGCAGATATCCAAGAGTATCTAATTTCCAAATCTGTTGCTACCCGGACCCCAGCAGGGTTGTTCCTGCCTGTCCCATCTTGTTCTGTTGGCATCACTGGCAGGAACCATCCTGCCTGCGCACTGTGAAATGGCCACCTGGGATTTTTTGTGAGGTGGAGTTATGACTAATCTGGACATCTGATTGTAAACCTAAGTTGTTCTGATCAGCCAAGTCTAAGGGCATCCCATTCCCAGGAGTAAAATGTATCTTTGAGCATTCATACATTTTCCCTGATGAAAAAATGCTGAGTCTCTAAAAATATTGCAAACTCAAAATCTGATAAAACCATCATTGTCAGCTCAGTCTAAAACATTTCATTTCAACAATTTTTGAATCATTCACATTAATTTAATCTGTTCTTTTGAGCAGGAGGGTGGGAAAGGTGACCTCCCAGGGATTGTTCCTGCTTACATTTTTCTATGATTCTGTGATTTCAGTTTCAAAAAGAAAGGTCTTTCAAACCAGCAAAGGAGCTTTTTCTTTTACAAAATGCTAAAGCCTGGCTGATTTCAGAATAGATCTCAATCAGTTATAGAAGGGTTTGTATGAGGTCTGGACTCAGTAAGTTGGGAGATTGCTGCCAATCCTTTGTGCCTTTGAAATAGGGTGGTTAGAATGTTTCACAGCTTTAAGTGCTGATTTTGACAGAATTGACTTCATCATCTGCTTTTGATTTCAATGAATCAGTGTTTTCCTCTGTGCTTGTGGGGGAAGGGGGAGGAAATCCCTAAAAAGCTCGCATACAAGAAAAAAATACTCCAAATAGTTTTACTTAAATTCCAATATTACGTTATACAACCAAACAGTGCCTTACTTTCTCTATTAGGATGTTATTGTTCCGCCTTTTCTTTTATCCCAAGTATTTGATCCCCAAGTAATCTAGCGACAATGAGTTTTTTTATGTCTTTGAAAAAAATATTTATTTGTGTGGTTTTAAAATAAGATGCATTCAGGTGCAACACAGTGCACTTTCCACTGTGAGGAAAGGAAATAGAAACAGCCAAGTGTTGGAAGAATAGAAGGCACTGCATGGAAGGAACGGTATTTTTATTACATAAAACACCACCGTTCCACTGGCAGAGAGTCTCCAAAATGGGGCATCAGAGAGGGCTTACAGATTTTTTTGTGGTGATCTGCCCATGTATCAGCTCTCACTGATACCAACAAGGACAATGTGCCAGGGTGGAAGTCCTGCTCTGTGGCAGTTTCAAAGAGCTCTCCTCTTCCTTCCCACCACTCTCACTGCATGGAACAGCCCCCAACCCTTCATCACAAATAAGGTAAACAAAAGTGGCATTGAAATTGCATAAAAGACCTGGAAGCTGCTGCAACACCTCCACTTCCCATTGCTTAGCCCCCCTCTTGGCTTTAGCAATGCAAAAGGATATGGAAACAGCAGTTAGCTCTTCTTCCCCAGGAAAGTTCTTTACCAGCCATATCCTAGAAGGGGATTTTCTCACCGAGTCTGCAAGAGCTGCCACTCCAGCTCTCCCTGTCCTGGTTGTACGCCACCTTGTCCTCAGGTCCCCCTGTACCAGGCACCAGCACTCAGCAAGTGGGCAGCTTTTACACGTTCAAGTTTTCACAACCATTCTGTTAATCAGTTTGAGTTAATTGGCTAAGTGCCCACAGCTTTATTAATTCCCATCCTTTGCACTGCTCACCCACTAGCCATAACACCTTCAATATGCTTACTGCATCACAAGTCATAGAAGTCCAAGGACACCCTTCAGGTTTGCTGCTTTTCAGTGCTCATAATAAAAGAGATGCTGCCCTTGCCTGGCACCATTCCAGCTAAGCATCTTGCTGTGCTTTACAAACTTCAATTAACCATAAGAAATGTTTTGAAGGACAGTAATTTCACCCCACGTCACAGTTAGGGGAACTGATGGAGAGGTTTGAGCCTGACATTTACAGATTTCTAAGTTTGGAGGCTTCCATTTCTGGATAAGCAGCATGAGAGGGAGGGAGGTGGATTTTAGCCTAGCTAGTGTGAGCTGGGGCCTGATTACGTGATTGCTTCACTTTGTTCTGGTGCAGAGGGCTGCCAGAGCTGCAGCAGATGGTTCTTGAACAAGACCTGCCCTTTATGAAACTCCTGCATTTCTCTGTGCAGGAGGTGATAACATGCAGGGCTGAAGTGAGATTACTGTGCTGCCAGACCACATGTCTATCCTTTCGTCCTGGCCTCTGATTTACCACTTCAGCCTTCTCAAAAACCAGCTGCAAAACAAAAGTGTTGCTATTGCTTCTGCAGTCAGGATTGTGGGCAAGTTAAAATTCACTGGGCTTCCACCAATTTCCCTTCTTCTCTGGGAAGGGGTATCTGCATAGGTATGCCATGAAACAGCTTCTCTTGGCCTTTCTCTCCCTGCTCCTTTCCTTTTGTGCACCCCAATCCCTCTGCCCTTGCATTCATAGATACCACTGAAGCAGTTTTTGACTTCATTCAGCGGAGCCGTAGGATGATCGTGGTCCTGAGTCCTGATTACTTGACAGAGAAGAGCATCAGCCTGCTGGAGTTCAAGCTCGGCATCATGTGCCAAAATGCCATCGCCACCAAGCTCATTGTGGTGGAATACAGGCCGCTGCAGTGCACCCACCCCAGCATCCTCCAGCTGAAGGAGTCTGTCTCCTTTGTCACCTGGAAGGGGGAGAAGTCCAAGAGGTCCGGCTCTCAGTTCTGGAAGGCGTTGCGTCTCGCCCTGCCACTGCGGAGCCTGAACGCTGGCTCCGGCTGGAATGAGAGCTGCTCCTCCCAGTCAGACATCAGCCTCGACCCCATCCAGAGGCGGCGGAGCCGTTTGAAAGGGCAGCCTGACCCACAGGGTGCCACAGCAGGAGCTCTTGCTCCCAGAGGGCCAGCCCCAGTCCCCAGGTCAAAAGCCAAACACCGAGCCAAGCACTTCTTGGCCTGCCGGTGCTGTGTGACCTATTGCAATGGTGACAGCAGACTCCAGCGCAAACATCGGGCTGTGGCTGAGTCCAGATGGGAGACTCACCTCTGCAAGCCGGGCTCAGGCAGGCCTGAGGAACCAGGGTTTCAGGACAGGAGTCGGCCAGAGCCTTTGCCTGCGCAAGTCCCCACTCTTGCCCTCTGCCATTACAGTGATTTATCGAACAACAATGACTTCTATGTTCTCTAGCCAAGCCCACAGGCTGCAGGCTGCATTTGAAAGTGCTGCAGGAGGTAGGCCTGCAAAAGAAATTCACTGGAGCCTCAGCTAAGATGTTTTTATGATATCACAGGCTGACTTAGTGTCTTTCTACGTTGTGTCATTCATCCTCAGGCCCACAGGAGCAGCCAGAAGGACTGCAGCAATGCCACAGAGTACCACCGAGGACATGCAGTAACACACAGAGCAGTGGCTGAGAACTTCTGGTTCATGTGTGCTGTCGAGTCCTTCTCCTTAATTTAAATTGCAAAGTGGAGCCGAAAACACGAGTATCTCCCTGGTGGTTCTTTTTCCCAGCTGCAGCTGTGTTTGCCGCATGTTTGCTGCTGGGATTGTGTGTGGGAGGGCAGGTGCCCCTGATGGGGAATTGGGAGGAAGGCACAGAAGAGAGAAGCAACGCACCTTGCAGTAACATCTGGAAAAGTGTGAGGCCTGCAAGCCTGTACCTCTCCATTTTGTAAAGAGTGAAACTTTGCTGATGAGTTCAACAGGAACCCCTGCCAGCGCAGGACAGTGCTGTGCAGGATGGAGCTTTATCCACTGTGGTTTAAAAGAACTTGGTCAAAACTTTTAAAATAACTCCTTTCTCTCTAAATAAAACTGAGTTCTTTAACTTGCTGTTGTTATAAGTGACACGTACAGTCTTTGGAGTTGGTAAATGTTGGAGCTAGAAGCCTTGTTCACCAGACAGCACTTGGGGAGGTGATTTGCTTAATCTGAACAAGGTACCTCCCTGTTCCCAGTGCTTTCAGAGAGCTCCTGAGCTTGGTCTGCCACACTGCTTCCCCAGAGGATAAATTTGCTCTGTTAGTTGTATGGCTTTTCACACAGCAAAAAAGAAAAACATTCCCAATCTAGGGAAATATGATTTAAAAAAAATCTCCAAGTATTCAAGGAGCTCAGGGATACAAGCAAGGCCTAAAATACTCATTTAAAAACTCAGGTACTGAAGCTGAGGGGTCCTACCTTAAGAGCATTTCATTAAATAACCCAAAGAGTCTATGACCAGTCTCCCTCGGGTGGCTATTTCACTCAGCAGGTGAGCTGGTTGTTGGTAGTGTTTCCCATGGTTCATC